CCGATTGAAATTTCAATCGGCTCAATCGGGTTCAATCGGGGGAAGAAGTAATGTTCACATAGACTGGGAGTGTATGTGTGTGTGGCTGTGTGCTAATGTGTATATGGGTTATGAGGTGAAAGAATGGTCATGTTATGAGGTGGAAGAATGGTCATGAGGAGATGTAAATGGAAAGACACACAAACAGGTTTGGAGGTAGGTCTTGGGGGGGGGGGTACCATATATATGGATATATATGTATATATGTAGATACTATATACTACATACATACATACATACATACATACATACATACATACATACATACATCCATCCATCCATCCATCCATGCATGCATGCATGCATGCAAGCATACACAATATATATATATATATATTTATTTATTTATTCATTTATTTATTTATTTTTAGCTTACACACACATTCACAACACACACACACATATATATATATATATGTGCGTATACACATATGTATGTATCACTCGTTTATGTGCATCTACACGCATATGTACTATACCGGCGCTGTCGATGTAAGTTATATATATATACATATATAGAGAGATAGAGAGAGAGATACATATATATATATATATAGATAGGTAGATAGATAGATAGATAGATAGATAGATAGACAGATCGATACTGTAGACATACTGAATGCCACCAGGTATTTTGTGAACACACCTCCAAAAACAACAAACGCAACAGCCAGAAACCTCGGCCCATGGTCCAGACAGCCCTGGCCCTATGACAACTGGGAGTTAGCGAGCAAGTTCTCTTTCCCATTTATCACACGCTCATGTGGATGGCTATACTGGCTGCACAGGTCGGCTCCGTCATGACATGCTGAGAAGGTATTCGGAAACAAGGCTCAAGAACTTGTGACAGCTCGCAAGCTGTCCTGAAGTGCCCCATGTTGGCCGGAGGAGCGGCTCTTTGGTTCCCGTAAGATTCTTGAGCCGAACCGCACATCATGACCCTCATTTTCTGGCACTCGCGCTCGACCAAGATGACCCTCATTACTGACAGAAGAAACGAAACCATGCTCATGATGCTCGCGGTGATTTTAATGGCAATGGGATGCAATGAGAATCATAAGCATAGCAGCCAGAGCAATGCATATAATAAATGTGGAGACTCTGTGAAGATAAGATCAGTTAACATCGGCTGTAGCGGTAAGACGCAGTAAGTTCAGTAAGGTTACACTGCGCATGGCTGAACGACAAGAGCCCTGCTGCCAAGCTGTGTGCTGCGAGAACGTTCATCACATGCATGCTGCGTGGGCCTCAGGACACCAGAACAACCTGAACCGAGCCCTTGTAACCTGTAGCCTTCGACCTTGTTGGAGTCTAACCGTGCATTTCCCCTGACACCATCAGGGCACCCAGCCGAGCTTCTCTCCGACCCAGATCAGCGCATTCACCGCCTCGGTCGGGAACTGATGGGGAAGGTTTGCTTGCACAGCTCTCGGAGTAGTGTTCCTATGCTGAGGATTGCCCCATTTAGATACGCTGCTGGCCAAAAACTCCAGGCCGTCTCGCTGCGGAGGCAGTTGGCACTCATTCGCTGCTGCTCGGGTGGCTGAATTCTGAACTCAACTTCACATCCTGAAGTATTTCAATCCCGAAGGTGGTGGAGGGGAGAGGGCGGGAAGAAGTCAAAACGGGAGAGAGAGAGAGAGAGAGAGAGATAGAGAGAGGGCAGGAGGTAGGCAAATGGCGCACAGTGGTCCAGTGCACTTGGACAGAAGGTTCTCTTGGAACAGCACATTGAGGAGCGGGCGCAGTAAGCCAAAAGAATCCAGAAGATGTAGTCGAAGAATATCCCCATATACTCCTCGCGGCGTGTGGGCGAGTGGTGCTCTTAGGAATCGCTCGCGAGAAGAATCGCTGTAGAAATATTCGGGCATTGTCTAGAGGACTGGAGGTCAAGGCTACGAGGTATGAAACACCTGGGACTTTCCTTTCGCACCATTTATCGGTTCGAAAACCAGAGCAACCAGCAACTAGCTTTACCTCTGCACGTAGTCGTGCGAGATGGGTCCTGCAGCTTTGTAGGCTGCTCCTCTTCGAAGACGAAGCCTTCCTGCGGCCGTGGCTTATGCAAGCTATCGGAGTCGTTTGGATTTGGTCGTCCCGTTTACGTTTACGTTTTCCATCTGCGACAAGTATGCTTCCGAAACGCTACATCCAAGAGCAGACACGGAGCTCTCAAGCAGAGGGCATTGAAAGCATCGAGTCAAAGAGTGTCTGCGGTTCGCAAAGGATCCACTGGACGGATATCCGTTTTCTGCGAGAAAGACTACCGCCAGGCCAGATGCTACGGCCTGTATACGGCAAAACCTTTCTGCAACACCACAAGCCGAAGGCAGGTGAATGGTTTGTTAATTCGACGCTGACTCAGGTCAGACATCTTCTTGGTCATCTGCTCGGGCGTGCGAACTGTGCGAACCTTTTGCACTGCCTATTGACAGTCTCGAAGTCTTCCTGATCAGCATCGTCGCCCTCGTCATCTTCCGCTTCCGTGACTTTCCAGTCCTGAGGCGTCGCACTTGCATTGAGGAATGTGCTGCGTTTTTGCAGCTAAACCCGGCTCGTTTCCAACTTGCAGCCTTGCAGCAAGCTCAACACGAGTTTAAGCTGAAAGGGTGCAGGATCCACAGCTTGCATTGAGGGAGTGTGTGTTCGACGGATGGTCAAAGAACTTACGATCATCCACGCATGCATGCTCAGAGCCGCACGTAGTGCACCGGAACAGGCCTTCGTCTCAATCCACCTGAGGCCACCATCGAACCACCAGCAGCAGAGCGAACATCGCGGTAAACCGCTTTACTGCTAGTTACCTCATGCTCAGCGCTTAGCCGCAGCCTCAACCTTCCTTCAGTGCATGCACTTCATGTCTCAACATTCGAACTCTCAACAAACTACATGCAAGCCTCGGAAGCGAAGTTATGTAGCTGCACCTGCCCATGAATCCAAACCCTAAACCCCAGAGGGCAAACCTTAAAGCCTCAAAGCGTAAGCCTCAAAGTCCAACTGAGGCCTGCGCCATCCGAGGAGGATCCGGCAGTTGGCGGCGGAGGCGGTCTTAGAAGGCTTTCGAGCGGATGAGAGATATATTGCTCGGGATCTACAAGTGTACAAGAATCTGGAAGGCATGCTCCAGGGCCCTAGGGTGTAAATGCAGGGTGCCACAGAGACTGGGTGGATTTCGCATCTAATGGCTACTGACGATTGAATCTGAAAACAAGAATCGTGATCATCTTCCGGATGCAGGTAACGGCTGAGTCTCGAACGCACTCATCGTGACCTCAGCGGTCCGTTCTGTCAGCGGTGGTGACACCGATAGTGTTGGCAGCAAGCTCTGAACATTAGCTGCTGACGGGAGGAGGCCCGGACTGTTGCGGTCGCACAAAATTGCCAAAGCGACGCTAATCGAACACAGGCGAAGAAGTTGCAAGCTGGGCTCCTCGCGGGCCCGCCAAGGTCTCTGCTGTGCAACTTTTGGGCCAAGACATGCCACAACGATGGTGCAATCTAGGGGCGCAGCAGAAGCTGGGGGGGTTTGACAATCATCCAAAGTGTTTCGTTCACACGGCGCCATTTAAAGTCTAACCCGTTTGGAACGAGGTCTCTCTTAAGTCTCCAAACCCTGAAACCCCATCCCTTTGCATGCATGAACAGACGCAGCCAAGATTCTTGATGCCGAGGCAGTGCAACAGAAAGCAAGTGCCAAATGCCAATGCATTGAGTTTTCATTCGCACCCGATGCGCGAGCTTGTCATGAAGGGCAAAAGACAGATCCCAGGGCTCATGGTGTTTTTTTCTCGTCTCAACGCTAATGGACCTGCATAGTCTGCGACTCTTAACATACAACATACATCAACTGCGAAAGCCCCAAACCTGACTTCAATCCATAAGCGATGCATCATGCGGCCTTGGTGATGCCCTTGAGGTGAGACCGGCACACTAACCGTTCGGAACTTTCGGGGAAGGAACGGTCCTTTTACATTTGGAATTTTGATATGTGCCACTGCAACTACTGTGAATAGCAGTTGACGGCATCTATGTGTAACTAGCAGCTTCTGCTTCCACGGTAGGTGCTGCATCCCCGGAACTCCGCCTATGCAGAGACAGGCAAGGCCTTCTCAGCCTGAGGTGCTTGTGAAGCTCAATTCGGAGGGCATCCTTCCATGTCCAGACGGACACCAATTGGATCAGAGCTGGACAGTGGATAGCTGGAGTTCAAAAAGGGCTCAGCTTAAGCATCCCTGCGAATCCTACCAGATTTGAACGACCTGCAAAGCCTTACTGCGCACCTACAACCATGCAGCTGGCCTGTCAGGCGGGAACCGGCGCCTCTTTCGGCATGCACGACCATTTAAGCGGCTTGGATGCTATATCGTTGTCGTGATCAAGCCCATGTTGCTGCCATAACTTTGGTGACCGTCGACACATCAGTCTTCGTGCGCCTACATCACTCGATGTCTCCTCTGCTTGCCACTGCTGTTTCGGCGGCCGTTCGTGGTGATGGTGTTGATGATGACGATGATGTTGGAACATGGTCCAAATGCCGCCGTGTGTGTCGTAGTTATGTGTCATAAAACTATTTTGGTCCACATGTTCAGCAGGTCACCACTACGATTGTCACAATTATAGCTGCGACATTGCACATGTCTCAGAGCCGGACCGGAGTTTCCATGCGGGCCCTTTTTGGAGCGTGGCCTGAGCATGACAGCACTGGCCCGCACATCTTGCCACTGATCTCGTTCTGGCTGCAATAGTCTTGTTCCCAGTGATCACTCACCGGACAGAAGCCGACAGAAAATGCTTGTCGACCATAGTGTCCTCCACAGACACGCATCCCGCACTCCATGTGTATGAAAACGTCATAGGGGCCGGCTCAAACGTGCTCCAGCTTGCTGGTTGCTGTCCTGCATGCAGAGGTCGCGGTTTGTCCGGTATTTCTGTCCAGGTTCCATGCAGTCTGACAGGCTTGAACTCTGTTCTGGTGCTCCCTGGCTACTAGATTCCTGAATGTCCTGCACCTTGGGCGGCCACACTTCCACCTCATCACGTAGCGCCAGGGGCAAGAAGTAAAGAAAGAGCTCGAATTCGGATGCAAGTTCTGCCCCAACGACCCTACAGCCGAATGCTTCAAACTCCACAGCCCCCCGGCCGTAGAACTTAGACGAATGGGAGCCGGAATCCTGACTCAGGACTCTCACATCCAGCATCCATGTATGGCTGTTCGTGCTGTTGCAGTCTGCACGCGCCTCAAGCTAGCATGTGCTACCAAATATTCCCTATTGTTCGGTGGTTTGCATGCACTGATCTGGCCGTACTTCTCGACTCAAACTGCTCATCTTGCTATTTCTTGTCAATACCTCTCTGTGTCGGGATTGGGCTTCCTTAGATGTGGTCGCAGTTTCTCAGGCTCCCTCTTCTGAATCAAACTTCTTCTCTCCGTTACCGGCCATTGTCACGGTTGGCCGATGACTGTTTTAGCATCGGTGGTGAGTGTTGGCCCCTGTTTTCGTCTTGACCAGGTGACATGCTTCGAAATCTTACTTACTTGCAGGAGGATCTGAGGCTGAAGCCCCCTTGGCTGCCGCACCGGCGAGAAATCTCCTGACTTGCAGGAATGCCTTGATGACTACCTCCAGCTCGACATGTAGCAAGCTGCCCGTCTCTGAGGAGGAGGGTGAGGGTGACCGCCCAGAGACAATGCCCTGACGAAGAATCTGAAGCTCTGCATCCTAGCGCAAAATGCCGAATGTGCGCGGAGCCATACCCTTAAGCAGCAGGTGTCCAGGAAGTGAGGAGTGTTGAATACAGTACTTAAGACAAAAATACCAACCACCAGGGCCCCCCATACTTTCTGGGGCTTGTGGGCAAGATGTGAAACTAGTTTGAGCCTCCTCGATCGCAGACTAAACGTGTCTCTCTCTCTCTCTCTCTCTCTCTCTCTCTCTACTTACAAGTCTTCTTCCAGGCATGGGGGCGTGTCAAGCCCCCACTGGCACTTCGCTTGCTCACTTGTGCATGGGTGTGAAAGTATAAGATGGGACATTGGCTGAAACGGCAAGGACGCACAATAGTGTCAACATGTGTCTTTCAGCCATCTCGCTCTCTCTGCCTCTCTCTGCTTCTCTTCTCTTCTCTTCTCTTCT